TAAGAACCACGCATACCTCAAGGCTGAATTTGAAATACTTAAATTGTACTTGAACAGGGAACATTCTCCTAAAATTTCAGTTTTCTAACCTTTCTGGTTCCCAGTTAGTAATTTTCCAGCAGAAACTTTCATACGCCCTTGCGTGGGTACCACGCATAGCTTGGGGTTGAATTCGAAATAAATGAGTTGTACTTGGACAAAGAACATTCCCCCAAAATTTCAGCCTTCCAGCTTTTCTGGCTCCCGGGTTAGCAATTTTCTCGCCAAAGATTTCATGCGCCTTTACGTGAGTGCCACGCGTACCTGGAGGCTGAGATTGAAATCTTCGGCTAGCACATGCACAGGGAATATCTTCACAAAGTTTCAGCCCCTTAGCTCATGTGGCTCCGAGATCACTTTCCCACCAAAAAGTTTGCATATTTTTTTGATGCGTCCGTACGCGGCACCCAGGCGTCCGCGGGGGATGAAATTAAAAGGGGAGGGTCGGACATGGTATAGGCGCGTACTGCCAAAGCTCCAGCCTTCTAGCTTTTCTGGTTCTCGAGTTGAAAGTGGGTGACAAGAAGTGCGAACACACACACACACACAGCCTCTTCCCAATGCGTGTTTCTGCAATTTGCATGTACGCAAAAACGCATAATAAAATAATGGCTTCAGAGTAGCACGGTAGTGCAAAGCCTCGTCTTTTTAAAATGGAATCGAAAAGTGAAATCTTCATCGAGTGCGCTAGGCTTGGGAATCTTCCGCAATGTGCACGACGCGTGGATTAATATGAAAGTATTGCAGCAGAAAATTGCTGCAACAGTGCCATGGACATCGGAACAACTGAATGCGGATAGTAAGAATGCCATGCCCAAACTTCCGCGCGCTCAGGTCGACGTAAACTGCGCTTTGTCTCATTGGGAAATCTCAATCGAAATATAAAATCGGAGGCGGAAATTGCAGTAGGATTCCCTTTAGGATGACAGAAACATATAATCAGTCGTCGTCTGCCCTCTCCCTTCTGCCTCCCCTTCGCAACAAACGGCTGAAAAATTAGCATCCTCTACCGGTCGAAATATTGCCAAAACAGGGAAAGACTCCATAAGATTTCAAAAATTTTTCCAATTTGAGTCGAAAGCACTGTTCCACAACGAAATGGTCGAAAGAGAGATGGCGATGATACGGAAGTGACACCACCCGTTCCACCGTAGTTATCCGCATGGTTACTTCTGCATTTCGAATTCATGGTGTAGAAACTCGTCGAAATATTCTGCATTTTTTTTGAATTCAGTGGTTGACCAGTCTGCTTTATTCAAGCTTTACTGAATATAACATCCATGTTATTTCTAAACTCTTGCTACGACGTATCAGGTTTGCCGGTGCGATCATTCTTTTTTGCACTAAATTTGCAGCAGCCAGGTCGTTAACTATATAAATGGTTGTTGCTCAACTGTGACTTGTGCAGTTCTTACACTAAATCACTATAAATTTTTGCATAAAGAAAAATAAGTAATTCCCGCTGAATAGTGGGTAATTAATGAACTAGACGTTCAATGAACAATTTTCCCGCCAAAATTTGCGTGCTTGAGAACCACGCATACTGGGGCTGAATTTGAGGTTTTTAAATTGTAATTGGACAAGAAATGCTCTCTTAAGATTCCCAATCTTCAGTTTTTCTGACTCCCGATTTAGTGATTTTCCTTTCAAAAGTTTCACGTACCTATACATGAGAACCGCGTATGCCGGGGAAGGGGGCGAGTTTGAAACTTTAAGTTTTATGTAGGCAGGAAACATCACCTTAAAATTTCACATTTCCAGCACCTCCGGTTCCCGAGTCAAAGCTTTTCACGTCAAAATTTTTGCGTACCCGTATAGGAGGCGCAAACGTGCCAGGAAACTAGATTTGAAATCTTGTTAAACAGGGGTTAGAAATATCTCCTTTAAATTTCAACTTCCTGGTTCTTTTGGTTCCTGAACTGGTGTTTTTCACGTCAAAACTTTCACGCTCCATGCGTGCGAGTCGCGTCGCGCACATTAAGGATCTGATTTTGAAATATTTTGGTCGTACAGGGTAAATAACATATCCTTAAAATTCCAGATTTCTAGGTAACATATCCTTAAAATTCCAGATATATCATTTAAATATCTAAATAAATATTAATCAAATATTCATTTTCTCCATCTGCTATTTCTTTTGAAGCTGTGAAATTTTTGTTTCTGGATTAGAAAAGCAGTGCAGGGAAATATCTTTAACATAGAATTTACTGTTCCACTCAGCCCGCACAACAACAGCCGCAGTGCACATGATAATGGCGCCTTTAACTGATAAGATTAAGCATTTTTGTTGTTTGTTGTCAGTGCTGCCATGGAACGTTATCTATAGATGGCTTTTCTTCAGCAAACTACCAGTGACGAGTCGGCATCGGCTTCTAACTGTTCTCTTTTAAAACAAGCTTCCTAATAATGTGATTTTATGCATTTCAGCGGCCCCCTCAAGATATTTGTCTTCTTCTGCAGCAGGATGATGCCTTTACTGTTCTGATAGAATGGAACCAATATGATAAATTCAGTGAAGAAATGCTTACGGTAAATTAACTAAAATAAGTTTCTGCCAGAAGAACCCCCTCGGGTTTTCAGGAATCAAAGGGAAGTTCTGTTTAAGCCACTAGGTAAGGTGAATCCCTGTACAAGTACCAAACCGTTTTTTTTTGAGAGAAATTTGTTCCTTGTTTATCAGTTGCATTTGATCAGTAAAAAAGAAATTATTAATTTAAAGAAAATCTGAAACAGAAAAAAATTTAACAAACTGAGAAAATGAAAAAAAAAAAAAACAAAAGCTATTCTGAAAGATGGAATACCAAAAAGTGGCCGATACACACGCTTATAATCCTGTCAATTTTCTTGACTTGTAAAAACTGATCGAAAAAAGAAAACCAAATGGAAAGTGCCTGGTAACTAAAGGTGCAAAAAATATGAGTCATATAGCGCTGCGGTATGACTCATATTTTTTACACCTTTTTTTTGGGTCCGCACAGTCACATGGTTGAATGTGGTGTTGACAACTAACACTTATTCCAGCTTTAGCATCCTTTATTTTCCCCAATTTTTCAAGTAACCAGAACTGCTTGTTATTTTAGCCGATCTCATAAGACGGTTTCCATGTCTTAAATGCTTTTTCCTCTAAAAACTCATCGAAGATTCGCAAATTGTCAAATTATCAGCAAACAACAGTGTCAAAAAGGATATTGCGATTAGAAAAGACGTAGTATAGCTGTCCTATTAGAAAGGACGTAGTACAGCTAAAAGCTATCTTGAACATGCTTTTCGAGCGATTTTCTGAAAAGAAAAATTTCGACAGACCCTTCCCAACAAATGATTTCAACAGTGATTTTGTTCTTGGACTGGAATTGTTCCCAGTCCTTGTGACGAAAGTGTAAAAATTGCTCAAATATTTTTATACTTATTTACTTTACAATAAAGTGTATCAAGGCTTATCTTGTGTTTTCTGAAGTGGAGGCGAAAGTCTAAGCTTTCAAGTTCATTGCGCTGTTCGAATGATTCCTAAAAGTTCTCCTTCTACCAGAGTTATTTCGTAACGTATTTAAACTAAATTAATAATTCTTTTAACCTATATTCATAAATCAAAATTTTTTTTAAAAAGTTCTCACATTTTTCTTTCAAGTACTCAAGCTGTTTTCAAAAGGCAGTTTTTCAGATTCTCTGTTTTACACTATTAACATAGACAGCGGAAATGCCCCAAAATAAGCTGCAATATTACTGGTATTTTGTTTACTATTTTTTTGTAATTTGCCTCGTTCCGCTGAATGGATACAAAATTTTGGTATTCAACCCACGCTTTGGCAAAAGCCATGTGCGATTTATGGGTAACATTGCTGATACTTTGGTCGAAGCAGGACATGATGTGGTATTTGTCTTGTTTGTATTTTTCTTCTAAAACAAAGTATTTATTTGATGCAGCCACTAAATTTCACAGTTATTACCAAAAATGTTGGCGGCGAGGAAATGATGGCTTCAAATTTATGCTGGATAAAAGGGAACATTATTTTACGGGAAACGGTAGCAGAAACAGTGCATCTAATTGTAATTTCACTAAGCAGCGAGTGGAGAAATGGAAACTAGAGATTCTCAAGTGTCACAATGACCTTCACAAAGGGAAAAAAGAAACTTTTTTTATAAAGAAAAAAGTAGCTTTTAGGAAAATCCTTGTATTTCCAGATAATACAATTTCTTTTCGAGATAGTGATGACAAGTTTTTGCCTTAAAACCAGAATTATTGTGGCTCGGTAGTACAATTGTGCATGGCAACTACACAACGCAACGTAGTCGAAAGCGTACCGGCTGCCGGTACGAGGATGCGTTTTTTGCACCGTTCCCCCCGCAGGTTTTTTTCGCCAGTGGCACGTTCTTCCTGGCAGATGCTTCTAGCCAGAAGAATTGTGACTGACCACCACGACTTTAGAAATTATTACAATGACTCTCAATCCACGCCCAAAAAATTCAGCGCTCTGGTTGCTTCGGTTGCGGAGTTACGCCAAATTCCAAAAAAAAATGAAAACTTGTTACAGACGCACACACAGACACACACACACACACACGGACAACCCCTCGACAATATGCGTTTTTGCATTGCATAACTGCAAAAAACGCATAGTGTCGAGGCGTTGCTTCTGCATACCGAGTTTTGATCTCGAGGTCTACAAAAGCTGCAAGGCTGAAATTTTGGCAACTTAATATACACATGCATGCGGGCTCCTACCCTCAAAATGAACACTCATTTCCGCGTGGTTCTCACTTATGGGCGCATGAAAGTTTGGCGGAAAGACGTGTGCTAGGAGAATAAAATTTCACTGTGATGTTCCATTGCGCATCTAATCCAAAGATTTCAAACTCTACCTTCACGCGCCCCTAAGTCTCACGTACGCACACGTCGAAGTTTAAACTGGCATTATGCCAGCTTTAGAATTAAGCTGCACGAGAAACTGTAAGGAGCTGCAATTTCACAGCGTTACTTGTCGCCCACTGTTGTGCCCAGTGAAAGTAAATTGAGCTGTTCATCCTCTCTCCACTTTACTTATATACGCGTGAGAGTTCCACGGAGGCACTTTTGTGACTTCAGAATTGAAGCAGCTAGAGGACTAGAACTTCCTGAGGATAACCGGCGGTGGCGCTCGACCAGGTGAGCGTAAAAACAACTTTCACATTCCTTTCATGTCTCACGTGCGAAACACGTGGAATTTGACGTAACTCCGCCACCAGAGCAGTTGGGGAGCTGAAACTTTCTGAACGTTGCCCAGGGCTGCATCTGAGCAAGCGCACCCGTCAACAGCATTGACGTTCCCACTCACGCACTGACACGTGAAATTTGGCGTAACCCCGCAACCGAAGCGTCTAGAGTGCTGAATTTTTCGGGCATTGATTGGCAGTCAATGAAATAATTTTTAACAGTCGTTGTGGCTATTACCAGTTCTCTTAGCTAGAAGCACAAAACAGTATTATTGGTAGCAAAACTTGCGGGAGAACTGTGCAAAAAAAGCATCTTTCACCGACAGCCGGTGAACTTCCGAATAAGTTTCGTTTCCACCGCCAATAGGTCACTTTCAATGCTGCAAAACAACTTAGAAGATGTGGAGAGCTTTACATTTCCATGAAACTTAGCGACTATACTTTGCAGACCCAGTTTGCACCAATTTTAAATCCTGTTGCTGATACAAATGGTTCGCGCCTTGCAAAAACTATAACATTGGCGTTCGATAAAAAATTGAATAAAATGTTGGATATGGAACTTTTTATTCAGAATTCTTGGAAACAGCAGTACCAGTCCATATTTGGTATTATGAATGTGAGTTCTATGAGATTAGTTTTTAAGAATTTTGCAAAAACCACATTATAAGCTGTTTTTTTCCCTTCACGTGCGTTTATGCTAAAATATGCGGCAGTTTGAATAGCAAGTGGTAGTTGCAAGCCCAAAGGAGTTGACATAGCAGCGCACAATATCTGGTAGCATCACTGCATTATCTCTTACATGGGATAACCACGCTGATAGCCGTAGTATGTGGCGGCTTTCACCGAGCAGTGAGCGCGCTTGTGAGCTTCAATGATAAGCTGCTGCAGATTGACGATGAGCGAAGGTAACAGGACATGCTAGAATTGTCTATCAATGCTCAAAGGTGCTGTAAGCAACTCTGCCAACATAAAATTTACTTTAAAAATCGGATCCCGAATTTCTGTTGAATATGCATATACTGTTTGGTATTTTAGATGTTTATTCAGCTTACGGATTATTTTATTACCAGTTGTGAATTGCAACTGCAAAACACAAAAATTATGAACCAGTTACGACATGAAAAGTTCGACCTAGCAATTACTGAATTATTTGACCCGTGTCCGCTTGGTAAGGAATTGTTGTTATTCTTTAAGTTTTCATTTCAACATATTACAGTTTTGAAGAACAATGAAATTTTGAAGGATGTTGTTATGAAATGACCCTGGAAAGCAAAGAAAAATTCGTGACAGGAGAAGTTGCACGGCTGATCAGCTGAGGTTTTTTCTAGATGTTTTGTTCGAAACATGTTTAAAAAGAAGGATGAGCTGACCTTAGTGTCAAAGTAAGTATTCTTTACAGACGGTCAAGTTCTGTTAATTATAAAGAAACAACTGAATAAGTGGAAAGTCGACAAGCGTTGCTTTACTACTTCTTCAGCCATTTTATGCGCTACACATAAAATGTGTTCAATCTGAAAATAAGAAATTCACTCATTAAATGAATTGGAAACTAGATGATGTTGCTAAACAAGAATAAAATTTAAGTTTTAACTAGACTTGAATTTCACATTAAATAAATTTCTGTTTGCAAATGCGCGATGCCTTTACTTTGTGGAAAAGCTAATTTCGTCAGGCTTCTTAAAGAAATAAAATTTCTACTGTTACTGAACCTAACAAATCAAAAGAAAGCAACACAGCGCAAAAAAATTTTTTTCAAAAAGCTCAGGAATTCCATTAGAAAGCAGTTTTGAAGGTCAAGGTGTGGTGCCGAATTGGAGAAATACAGGACTTGTTGGACCGAAACATTTCGTTTTTTTTTTTTTTTTAATTTTTTTTTGTACTTTGTATATATCACTATTGCAGACTTCATTCTTCTTTGATACCTTACTTTTGTTCAGTTGCTACACTGGTGCCCTGGCATATTTGCACACTTTTTTAGAAATGACTGAAACTAAGAGGGCACAATATGATGGAAACTATTTCAGGTATGATCGAATTATTTCAAATACCCGCCCATATTCTTGTTTCTGCATCTGGAATTGTCGAATATGGTAGTGCCGCCCTCGGAATGCCAAATATTCCAAGCTATGTGCCTAGTACGTATTTCCCATTTTATGCGTTCATAGCGCTGCTACAGCGAGCAAAAGCGCATATTGCCGAAGGGTTGTCTATGTGTGTGTACGTTTGAAAGCGATCGAACTTTGTTACCAATCAAGGAAGCAGGAAGGCTGAAATTTTGAAAAACATATTCCCACCTCGTGTGTCACCCTCCCGTATTTATGCGTTTTTGCATATATGCAAATTGCAACCCAGGCTGGAACGCACCAGGCTCTCTGGTGCGATCGTGCGTTTTTGCGCTAAACTCGCACGTCGCCATTAGCAGGAATGACCCTTTGCTGTAGCCTAATACTTGGGCTAATATTGGCCGTGTTTTGACCCTTACCGGCATGCAGGAGGAAAGGCATCAGTTGGGATGAAGATGGTACATTGCGGTTGGGATTAAGGTGGTTCACGACCAGGTGCATGATTACCGGTTTTTTGCATGAAGTCCGGTAGTTTTTTCGGTAAATGCTCGCTTTCTGGAAAAATGACAAATGCAAATTTTTTTAAAAAATGCAAATTTCCAGCTCACTAAAAAGTGGAAGTATTGCTCAAGCGATCGTTTGTCAAAAAATACACGTCCATTTATATATACGATTGCGGTTAAGGTCCGAGCTGCGAACGAATTTTCGAAAATATGCAAATTTTCAGTTCA